GCCTCTGTTAAAATAGTCATAACACTTTTGGAAATGAAGAGACACACGGTAATGTCTCTCGGCGCTAAGTTGAATTAACGACGATATTAACAATGTTCTGTCAGTTGCTGAGAAATTGAATCTCTTCCTTATTTGTATGTATAAATCTATGACAAACACACACACACACACAGACTTCTTTTTACCTTACAAAAACAGAAAAAATGTAATTTCAACCCCGACCTCCCCATTAGAAAAATCGATTTTTAAAGCTGCAACTTTCTATACCGCGAATACGAATATAATTGACAATTTTTTGAAAAGAAATGTTTAATAGACAGAACGCAAATAAAGTAGTACTATGAACTTTTGTTCCGACCAATGTCGGTTTCCTTGCATGCCACCTTGCGAGATCGTGTCCTATTTTCCCTACGATCTCCATGCTGAATTCAAATCAATCAATGTTGCACGCGCTTGTAGCACCAAACTTGGCGACGACGCTAGGCCACGGTTGTTTCGGACTCCGCGCGGTGCAACCTGGTGCAAAGCAGCACGCGAGGAAAGCAGCAGCTGATCACGCTCTTTTCGTATTTGCCTTGCGGGCTAAGAACTCAAACCGGGCGCATCGAAGGTATATTCGACTAACGAAGAGAAAGTCACGTGGAGAAATTCGACAAAGGGAAGAAATAGACGGAGGTGTATTTTGCGCAAACGCCAACTTCGTTGTAGGAAATATATAGGAAGGGCGGAAACGGCGAGAGGAATGTTCTCTCTGTCTCTCTCTTTAACGAAGCGACGCCACGTTTGTTCGTAACAGAGCCGAAGGGTTGTACGAGACGATCTTCGTTGTCTTTGATACTGACTGACTACGCCCACAACATGATTCGATCACACGCGCGTGCAGGTACATGTGCGTGTACTGCGTGCGAGTCACGCGCAAAATAAACAATTTTGCGTCGAATATACAATAATATTTTAGTCGGGATCTAGTTACGCGAAAGTAAGAGCGGACACTCCGCGTTTCTCTTCTGCGTAATAACGACTGCACGCCGTAATTGTATATAGGTATATCGCGACGTTTCAAAACGCGAGATCGCCATACGGGAGCGTGAATCTCAACCATTCGCGCGTACATTCACTCGTAATTCGGTAACAAAGTTACACAGGCGACAGAGGAGACCATTGCAAGAGAGTCCATGTCTCGCGAAAGGTACACTTGAAAATAATAATGCCTGCTGCTTGAAGAGAAATTGAAGAGGAATGAACGAACTAGAAGCTTAAGACCTTATCAATCAGAATTCCGGTTGAGTTATTTCAGTTAGAATTCTAGTAAATTTAATCAAAAAATTCTGATTCGTCCATTTTCCACCAGAATTAATCCAACCAGACATTTTTCCCAACGAACAAATCATTTCTCAGATATAAGTACGAATACACTTGCGGCGAAATTTGTCATTCTGTGAACTTGTGATTTTGTTCAATTAAAATACTTTACCCTAAATTCCTCTAAAAGATATAAAGAATTCATCATATCTGAACGTTCTTTTTTATCTTTTAGTCACCATTATCGCTGTGTTACCTTATCATTTGGTAACAATGTTTTATAGTAACAAAAAGATAAGACAAATATATCTAAGATAGAACAAACACCTGAAAGATATTCTAAAGAATCTACTAAAGGACATTCTCTCCATATCTCTCTGGGCGTTTTTCAGATCTTTTCTGAATGTTTTTTAGTTATCCTTTTCAAAAGTCAGTCACCTTATAATAACGCAAGCAAGCATCTTAAAACATGTGCTAACACTGTTTTTACTGCACAGATTACTCCAAACCCTCCGACAATAAGATCTAAAAGATATTCTGAAGAATCTAAAGGATATCTGGATGTTCTTCGAACCCTTTCTAACCATTTTTCAATCATCGCCTTTGAAAGTCAAAAGCAATCATCACCACATTGTAACGCAAATACCTTAAAGTGTTTACTTAAAATGTTAACTTCTCGTTTGCTAATATCGTTTTGCAAATAACAAAAACAACATCTAAAAATGATTCGTAACTCGCACATAAATCAAAGATAGCGCATAATTTGATGCTCGCTAAACAATTGGCCAAAAGTAGGGTGAAAAAATTGAATATCAAATTAAGGATTTAACAATCGATCGATCATTATAAGGATTACTAGGCAAGCATACGGTAGAAGAAATAAAATGCAAATATTCTTGAATAATACGTGTGCTTGAACCTATTAATGATATTCCATTTACGGATTAAAAGTCTGTGAAGCATTCCTGAATGCAGGAGCAATCACTTTGCCCCTTCGTTGTCAAAGCGACACGTTTTTATCGTGAAAAATGATAACGCGACAAATTTGGTTGCAGCGCGTAACTGCGCGTAACTGTGCGTAACTGCGCGCAACTTCGAATCGATGGACCACGGCATTCCTATACACGAAGGACCTTGGGATTTCGGAGCGAGCGGCGAAACGATGTCAAAAAGTGGTTGTTTCGCAACAATTCGCAACAGCGAAGCGCCACCCTTCGGCGGAGCCGCCGTTGTTGTTATTGTCGACACTTTGCTCTTGTAATTAATTGTCTATTTGAACGAACGTGTCTCATTCTGCAGGATACGCCGCGAAAAATTATACTTTTCTCAAATTGGGCGATTATTTCAAGGATTGAGTATAAATCGTCATCGCGCGAATCTTTCGCTTCCGGAAGAAATGAAAGAAAAATAAATAAAGCGCGAACTGTTAACGTCAACCTGTCTCCTCGTAATCGCTCGTAATCCTTGTGCGAGATTGTGACGAAAGGTTGTCTAAAAACTCACCTCCTCGGCGAATTCGAAGTCACCGTCGAATCTCCTTTTGCATCTCACCCCCGTGGCTAGAACTAGCAGCACCGTGGCTGCGAGCATCCACGAGAATCGCATGGCTGAAATCGTCCTCCGAGTCCTCTCCTTATCCCCGGAACCGTCACTTACTTCACCGCGGAAAACGCTCGCGCGCGCGCGCGCGGCGCGACAGAACGGAAGTGAGAGAAAGAGAAGAAATCGGCACGCGCGAGTACACCGTCAAACGGAAGGAAGAAATGTCAGGGCGGTTGATGCAAACGATGATCAGCGCACGCGAAACTCCGATTTGACGTATATGTATGTATGTATGTTACGCGAAGCTCGACGCGGAACGGAAACGCGCAGCTCGATAGCCGAACGAGTTGTGCTGTAATCGCGCGAGGTGAGGCGACACCGTCACTGCTGTTGGTTCATGCGCCACTAGAGGCGCGCGCGCGGCACGCCTGCTCATTGGTTGGATCTCGACGAATGACGCGCAAAGAGGGGACCCGCGATACTCGCTTTCACTCGACTGTTATCGTCGCTCACCTGTTCGGCTACCTTCGACGCGGATACACCGTGCCGCGTCCATCGCCAGTCAATACCTCCTCTCCATCTGCTAGTTCACCTACCTACCTGATGTAATCCGTGGCTTTGATAGAGAAAAAGAAAGAAAAGGTTGAAGGGAAAAATCCAGTCCCACTCTCCCCAGACGATCTCGGCCGTTCGACCAATCTTTTTTTTTTTCTTCTTTCTTTTATTCTTCATTCTCTTCGTTACAATTGCCATCACTATCATTGTTCTCTCTTGTTACTTCACTAAATTGTAGTATTGTGTCCCTTAGAGGACAGAGAAACCTACATAATAAAAAGAAAAAAAAATTTTGTTTTCTAAAGTAATGTCTTTTGTTTACTGATTTGTACTAGTATTTTTAATAGTTCGAATCAACCTGAAATATTAAATTCCAGAATGTATGAGTAAATACATATTTCAATTACACAAATTTATTAACAATGAAAATTTTTTATGTAGAATTTAATAATTCAATCATGGCTAACTTGCAAAATGTTGCTACTTTAGATTAAAACTAAAAATTGTTAAAGTGATTCATTTTTTATATTATATTAAATATTTTTTTAAATAACATAAGAAAAAAAATGCCTATGTAACATTTCAGAATTAACAATTTAGATTTATTACATGCAAAATATATATATTTATTCTAATTTCTTAACATGCTTTTTGTGATCAAACAAGTCAATAGATTATATTCAGTTTTCTTCTTTTACTTCCCAAAATATCCAGAAAATGCCTCGTTCATTCGATCCTTTCAATAGATACGGTAATTTGCTTTTATACTCTCGAGACTCAACTGAAGAATTTATCGCTCCAAAAGGCCACTCCACCTCTATGTGAGTCCAATGTGGATGCGTATCACATGAACGAATATATCTACTTCCATGTTACTAAGTACATTTTTAGAAAAGTATAAATATTTCTTTGGAGATCACTATCGGTGAAACATAGCCAAAGACAGCCACATAAAGTACAAATGAATTAATTTATATAATCAATCTATTTATTTATTCACTCACTACTCTTTTATATCTTTTACCAGGCAAGAGCATCCTTAATTGTCCACTCAAATTAAAAAAATAAACAAATGTAGAAAACACAGATTTAGAATGTATAATAGATGTATGTACTTAGATTTAGAATATATATACTTAGAACCAGAATGTCTAAATATTTTTTTTAAGTGATATATGGGATAACTTTAGAAAATATACATGTGCATCTGTACTCAAGCTAGTTTGTTTATTGTTTTATCTCTCTATTTGGAAAAATACTGAAGAGAACTAATTGCGTTATTTTAATCTAAGAAACCCATCTGCTTAGAACTGTATAGCTACATCACAACCCATAATGAGATTATATTGCTTTCATAGTCGAAACGTGCCGCTATGGATGTAATATCATAACAATATATATGCGGAGCATATCCAAAAAGTGCTTGTATAAACATTTATCCTATATCATTAAATTTACATATATACTTTATGTATCTATATTCTATATATATATTAGGAGACAAAAATTAATAAAAACAACAGTAGCACCGCATATATATCAAAATATTTAAATGCTATTTATTATTATTAAAATGCAATGAATAATAATGTATTGTGAAAAAACAGCAAAATGATAAATGAAAAGGAACTCCCTTGTTGAATATGAGTAAACGGAGTAGCTGACTTCGCTAGTTGACAGAACGAGGATACCTGTCTCGTCTTCATTTAAGATGTACATAATGCCACTTATCGACTGAAATCATACATTACAAAGACAATTCAATGAATAAATAAATTTAATTCACACACATTTAACATCAATAGTATCTTCATAATTCAAATATTCGAAAACTGAGTGCAATTTTTAATTCCCATTATAATTGTTACAATTTTGGGTGTATGAAGTAACATTTGTCAACTGAAAATGAAGGGCATTAGAGTATTATCGTTGTATATATAACAGAGTAAAAAAAGTGAATGAGAATTATAATTCTTATTAATTTTTCAGAAAATTTACATTTCTATTCCATGTTACACTTCAGTCACCTACCTATCGGTTCTACAGGTTGAGGTTCCACTGGTTCAGGTGCTTTGTTTAAAATTTCTTGTGCAACTTCTGTAGTAATCTTGAAAGGACTCCCTTCCACTGTTACATTAGAACTGCAAAAATAGAATAATATCAAAATTATTTTATCTAAAACATAAAAACTAATTATTACGAACCATTCTATTTCATTAGATGAATCTTCCTGTTTGATCAAACTTTGCCAATGTTGATGTACTTCTTCAATGATATGCAAGGCAAATTCTTGTGGTTTTGCTTCGCCATTAAATGCAAATTGATTTTCTGGTTTTCCATCCGGAATTTTATATATTTTAAACCATTCAATTGTGGCTTTCATTAAACCTGGATAATGCTTATCAATGTCACTTACATCTGCAATTATAATTATCAAGTTAGCAATCTATTAAGATTTTTTTTGCCTACTTAAGGACGTATTTGAAGGAATGTATGAATATCAAGTATTCTTAATAAATACGAATTATAATATAATAATTACCATTCATTTGATCTGCCAAAGGATCATTAACATCAATTACAATAATCTTCCAATCAGTTTCACCTAAAATAGAAATTGTTCATAATGAAACATACATACCGTATGTAGTACTGTATTTTATTTGCATATAAATTATTCTAATATTCTATATACATATTTTGCTACAAATATTAAACTAATAATTTTAATTAATGAATAATTTAATTATCTAACCTTCATCAATAAGTGCCACTGTTCCAAGAACTTTTACTTTTAATATCTCGCCTCGTTTTGCAACCTATATAAACACAAATATATTTCTGTCAATTATTATAATCAATTATAATTATTAAATTATTACATAAGAGAGAGAGAGAGTGAGAGAGAGAGAGGGAGACAAATAAAATTATTTAAAATGAGCATACAGCCACAACACAAGATGTTATTTGCAAAGTCATATATTTAAAAAAAGAGACAAAGTTTCGGTCAAGTTACGACCATCATCAGTACATAAAAATTAATAGTATACAGTATAAAATAATGATAATTGTTAGATGTTAACGTTAGATATTAACCGTTACATGTTAACAACAATTTTCTAAAATTTTTCAATCTACGATAACTTGACCAAAACGTTTACCTTTGTCTCATTTTCAAAGTATATGACTTTGCGAATGACATCTTGTGTTGTGGCTGTATTTCTATTTATGTTTATTTATCATTGAGCCACCTTTTCACTCTGCTTAACAACTATAATTATTTCTCACCCTATAACCTATTTCAAGAACATCAATAGGATCGTTGTCACCTTTGCAGCCTGTTGCTTCGTCCAAGACATCAGGATTTTCCCATGTCTGTTAATTACATTATTTAGTAAAATTATCTATATTACAATAGCAAAAGAGATGACAAATTATTATATTATATATTACACATTATTATATTGTATCAATATCACAATAAATAACTTTTAATAAGAGGTAAAAGATAATTTTTTTTTTTAAGAAACCAGGAAATAAGATAACATTTCAATAACATAAAAAGGAAACGATTGACAAGTGTAAATGTATGCCTTGAGTGCAAGTTCACATATGCACAAGATATACGAGCATGATAAAGTATAATGTGTATACACATACACACACATGCATATATATAGATATGTGCTTTCATTAGTGTCAGTGCAATTATCATCGGAACTTTTAATATTTCCTTTTATTATGTTCAGATAATGAATCAATGAGATCATCATTAAATCATGCATATTATCACGAAACATAGTTTATTTGAACAAATAATAGATATACAAGAATGTGTTTTATAGAAAACACTATATATGTGCATTCTACAAAATAGCCTAGTAATAGAGCCATTAAGTTTTTTAAGTAAAAAATTTGAATTTTCTGTACTTCCACATATATAAAATAAGAAATTTGTTATAAATAAATATAAAAAATTTTTATGATGAATAATCAAATTTTGTAATAAATATTCTACCGCAATAAAAACAAAAATCAAAAACAGGTATCACAAGAGATTGAATAACAACAGAGTTGCTAGAATTCCTACCTGGGGCAAAGCTCCATAGTTCCATATGTAGCCATGGTGAGGGAAACAATTAGCAACGAATCTCAATTTGTCCTTCTTAACATCCTGCTTAATAGGATTCAAACTCTCTTTAAGACATATTTCCATTTTAGCATTTGTCCATCTTGGTATTTCGACAATCATATGTAATATTTTCTTGTCTTCATTAGCAAAGAGAGGAATGTCATGCATGGGCGAGATTGGGACATCCTGATCATTTTCTATACATAAGAATAAAAGAATTTTTTTAAATAATTTAAAAGAGAAACTGTCAGGTATTATTAGTTCAGAATAATATTTCTGTTACAGTATAATATGTTATGCAAGAATATACCAAAAAGTCTCTGATACAAAAAAGACGATATAAAACTTGGTAAAAATATGACGTATAAGAACATACGTCTAGTCTGGAGCATGATTAGACTACTTCCTCATTCATAAAGCCTATAAATATGTACTTTCACTAGAGCTAAATGTCATAGGTCAATGAATTAAATAAATGCATGAAATAATATGGTGGATATCGTGACAAAAATCGCTTGTGGACGCTCGGTATTTCAAAAAAAAATCATCATCTTTTAATGCAAAATACGCCGTAACAATGCGGTAATGAACTTGAAATCTGATCGAGATCCGATAATCGCGGCATGCAATCGATTGGATTGATTGAAGTCCTCTAAATTATTTACCATCAAGCGAAATTTCATGTGACGTCATGTCGTTCGAAAGAATTCAAGTCATTAATAACAATAAAAATGTTAATAGCATGCACGCGCGAACGTGCATCCATGACCTCGCAATCAAGTTCACGACACTTGGCGCCGACTTCCGCAAATGTTGTTTCATCATTTATCTAACTACGTCACGTTGAATTTACTCACTCAAAAATACCCTGTAGTCCGTGCTGTTGAGTGCACCTCTCTCGACGGTCGTGTACGACGACATGTCTCTGCAAAGTTTCGTCAAAACGGCGAGCTTCCTGAACACCGGTCTACCGGTTGTTACGAATCGCGACGAAATAGCGAATTTCGCCAAACCGTGGCAACGTAACACGTGCAGCGTTACCAGAGACATTTCTGCCATCTGTCGTCCTGCGCGACGCTCTGCAAACCACAGGAGGGTACCGAGAGAAACTTTGTTATCAACCGTATCATTGACAAATAAATATTATATATGCGTGTATATTTTCCTTGGTATATCTCTGCAATTACATAAGCATAAAATTCCATGATGACCTGGGTGTGTTCATGCATGATTTTATCTTTCTTTTATATCCGGAACAACAAAAGGACAAAATGATACAGTACATAATGCGCATCTTGAAAAGGAATAAACGAAACATAATCCCGTGTAACACGTGGTGTTTACACGATGTTTTAGGTAAATATTTAATATAACGCTCCCATTTCTGTAATTTTGTAAATTTATGTATTTTTACATGTACGGAATATGTATCTATATTTTGAGTTACGAGAAGGAAAATAGGAGATGAGTACGCTGTACTAAATATTTACTACGCTTTTTTTTATATAACAGTAGCAATTATTATATAATCTAGCTAAAAAACAATAATTGAAATAAATAAAATTGTATATTTTTTTAGTTGCTATATATGTAAGCCATTATATTATGACGATAATAATACTATTATCGGCAGAGCAGCACACAGTGCTTTAGACCGACTCTGTTGCATTCAAATATAAAAATTAATATGGATTCAACAGAAATGATCATCAATATAATACCTGCGCTCTCTAATTATCCCCGGCATTTCCAATTTTATGGATCTATCTAATATATAATCAACGAAAGTCACACAAAAAAGAATTTAAAACGCTGATTAAAATTTTAAATTTTTTAACATATTATCTTTACTGATGAATAATAAACGCAACTTTACACAGAAATATCGTGTTGTAGTATATATATGTATATATATGTTTCTTAAAACGGATAGAACGATATTCGTACAAGGACTAAGGCGAATGTTTTTCAAATGGCATCTATTAATTTTACTACCAGAATGATTGATATATTGATCTCGGACATATATAAAATATTTTTCTAATCGCATATACAACTTAATGTTGTGACTTACAATTACAATCAATCATTTCTAAAATTGATCCGAATTATTTCGGTAAGTTATTGAAGCGATGACTGGAGTCGCGATTACAAAATTATATAACAGGATCGTGCAATAACGCCGGTTCCTTATTTGCATCATTTGCGCACATTTGCAAGAGCCCACCACAGCCCACGACCCTCAGGACGAATCGATATCGCTAGTTTCGCTATCGTGACATTCGTGGCGCATAAATTGGTGGAATTGCACTCGTTGCACTCGCACTACATGAGTCAGCTACTGAGCCGTGTTGTTTTCGTCAACGGACGACGATCGACGTTCAATTGTTCTCTACGAAGATTTCACATATCATCACAAAAAATGGTTATTGCCGTAAGTATTCTTTGATCTACTCATTTTAGTAATGATTCATCAGTTATCTTTTCTAATTGTACTACGAGAGATATCTCCTTGTAATCCATCCCCAAGAGATGATATAAATTCAGATGTATAATCATTCGCATTACCATTGATAAGACTTACAGAATGTAATTGATTCTAGATACTACAATAACAATATTTAGATCTGATTATTTTGATGTCGACTATTGCACGATTGTGATAAAAATTGTTTAACTTAAAGTAACAAATTATGATTAAAGCATACTTATGTTGAAGCAATGTTTAGTTGCAACATTTATGTAATGTATATATATTTATTTGTTAAGAATTAAAGTGACTACTAATCGCTGGTCAAATTTTTTATATTTATACAAATAAATATTTTATCAAATATGATATTGTATCTAACAAACATTTATAATCTCTCATTAAGGATTGCAATTATTAATGATTTTCAAGGTTGGAAACAAATTACCCAGCGTGGATCTTTTTGAGAACACGCCAGCAGATAAGGTGAATCTAGCAGAGACTGCAGCTCAGAAGAAAATCATAGTGTTTGGTGTGCCAGGTGCATTTACTCCTGGTTGCTCAAAAGTAAAAAGAAAAACTTATTCTTTTTCAATTCAAATAATTGTTTAAGATTTTAATAAATTTAACAGTTTTATCTTAATAAAATTAGAAACCTTTCTTTTACATATAGGTTTGAAACTCATTTTATTTTTTATATCAATGTAATATTTCATTTCAATTTTTCATTTATGAGATAGAGAGGAGCTATTCCATGCTGGTATATCTTCAGTTACAAAAACTTGAACCACAACAGTAAGCAATATCACTTTGCAATGATGTGCTTACAACTATATTACATAAACATGGCTGCTTCTTGAAAAGACACATGATTTTCAAATGTTTAGTATATGTTGTCCAGAAACATGAATATTATCACTGGCAGGAATAGTTCTATGAACGATAAAACTCTAGAGAGCTTAATAAAAAATTAATTTATTTTAACTTTACTTTGGCAAACTCTTATAGAATTATTATGTGTATGTGTGTGTTTGGCATGCAATAGAATAAGTTTTTATTTGATATAAATTATATTATAAATATGATTAATTTTACTAACATTGATTTTCAGACTCATTTGCCTGGTTATATCGTAAAGGCAGATGAATTAAAGTCCAAAGGAATTTCTGAAATCTTTTGTATCAGTGTTAATGACCCATTTGTTATGGCAGCTTGGGGAAAAGAACATGGTGCAGCAGGAAAAGTAAATATTTATTTAATTATTAAATTAAAAAAATTAAATCTCTTCTGTATCATGATTATTATATAAATTAAAATTTATTTTGTCTATTATAAAATTATTTCCTTAAGAAGTTATTTGTATTCTTAGGTACGAATGCTAGCTGATCCTAAAGCAGAGTTCACAGAAGCTGTAGATCTTGCTGTAGATTTATCAGTCTTGGGAGGCAAACGCAGCAAACGTTATTCTATGGTGATTGACGATGGAATTGTAAAGGAGATTAATGTTGAACCAGATAACACTGGTCTATCTTGCTCCCTAGCGGATCGTATTAAAGTTTAAAGCATTATTTTAATCATCAACCTTAGAATGACAGAGCTATTTACAAGAGGAATCTGAGATTAAGGAGGAAACTACAAATACTTCAGCTACTTGGAAGCGTTTCTTAACCCTCAAACGGCACACTGGTGCGAATTTGCACCAGCAAAATTTTCAAAACATTGGCATTTTCCCCCCAACAGTTTCCAAGGTCTATTCCTACAGTGTTAAATATATCTGTTCTCCTATGTAAACACTATGCATAAACAGATATTTAAACAGAGAAATGGTTAAATAATGAAATCCTAATTTGCTCCAGTGTGTCGTTTGAAGGTTAACATTCTTTGCATGTAGACATAGAAGTCTGTGTCTTTGTAATACTTTGATATAAAAAGGTGTTTTCTATTTAGTAACACAAATCTACACAAATATTCTTTCTTGTCATTCTAATGAGTAACGAAGATAAAACAACACTTATGTCAATTTGTGTCATCAAATGGAAAGCATCCCAATTGAGAGTTGAATCAAACCGAGGTTTGTAGTTTTCTTTTTCCGTTAACTATGAGTGTCTCCCTTTTAGTGACTCAAATCAAGACACGTATCTATCTTCATTATTCATGGAATGTAATGAAAGATAGAATATTTGTGTCAACTTGTATCATTAAATAGAAAGCATCTCTTAATAGCCTCTTGTCCTAATTGACACTGTGCTTCATCTATATATATTCTAAAGTCGATGATCTTTTTACATTGATATTTTCCGTTTTCAACGTATACACTGTTAATGTGTAATACCTTATTCCTCGATTAGCGATTTCGCTTTTAAAGTGAAGAAACTTTTGTGATATGTTGCTTTTAGTTATTTAAATCTTTGTAACCTACAATAGAAAATTACTATAAAAATTTGAAATTAATATTTTTTTTTATCGTGATGTGCAAAAAAATAAAAATAATTCCTTCATTAAATGATATGTCAAAGCATGTTTGAATGATCCTCGTAAATCTTGGAGTATGTCTTGGAAGTCATTTCGATTAATTCTGTGCCATGAAAAATTTCATATATTTTATCAGATACTTTCATATTAATTCATCTTACATTACTCTCACATATGAGCGAAAGTTCAATTTTGGAATGATTTACAATCTTCTAAGTATAATAAAATTTTGTACACTTCATGTTTGATTGCAACAAACAAAGAATATATCTACACATCCTACAGATTTTTTTCAAGTATAAAGGCGAACGATTTTACAGTTTTGATTGCAACAGAAATTCCAGAAACTTGTTTTATGCCTAACTTTTCAATTATTTGCACGAGTTTTATTTTTTTTTTATTTTTTTTATCTTTTGCTTTTTTTTTTTAATGTGTTTTAACAGATACAAATTAATATGTATACAAATTATTAGTTAAATAAAACACCACCGTGGATCACAAACTTATAAGATTATAGAGACCCTTGCCAACCCTTGCGACAACACACTCAAGTGTCGACCAGTTGGCCATACTGAATTTTGCACTTTGGTAAAAGCTGATTGGTTCATTGCTCCCCCACTACTTTTGAACGACTGCGCATCCACCGGAATGGTTCACCTTGTATATTTCCACCATGGCTCCGATTGGCTCCGATATATCAGACTTGAATCAGAATATCACCGCGTTGCTGTACATAGTTTATGGCAAAGAGAGAGAGAGAGAGAGGACAGAATCGTGGCGGCGCTTGGACTTGGGTTTGCGTTGTACTTGTATTATCTTTTACGCTTGATTCCTGATCAGGATATTCGAATCTGCTCTCACAGCCGTAAGTGTGATTGTTATTATACTAATAATTGATTCCCAATCGGCGGATCAGGGCTGTCGAAACTTCAGCGCGTAACGTTGACATACCGAGGGATGGAGAAAATTCCAGGCCAATGTCAATCTCTGCGTTGGCCGTGCGCGTGCCAAAATGTCCTAGCGGCTGATCGCGCGCCTGCGAATATCGACAATGGCCGTATATCCCTTATCGTGAGCGATACAGTGATGATGCGTAATCAGCGCATCTGAGGATGATACGTCCGCTTTTCTTCTAAGCAGCGTCCCCGCCCTGACGATCGTGTCGTCAATTAACTCCTAACCCTCACGCGGAATCCATTGTCAGATGAACATTCGGCGGCGACCGACGATATCGATGATGGCATCGCGATCATTGCCCGCCTCCTATTTTTTTTTCCTACTTTCTTTCAAGGTGGTTTCCTCCACGAAACGGGTTTCGTTTGAGGACCTTGTCGTTTTCGTCGCTTGCTTTGCATTTTTATTCACATTCATATGACCAGTGCGTCAGTGTATCTATATATGTGCACATATTACCTATAAACGCGCGCGAGCACGCGCGTGCATATTTGAAGATATTTTTAAACGAGAAAGAGAGCGAAATTACCTTCTTTTCCTGCTGAAACATTTCTCAAGTATTACTTGTATTTCATTTAAATAATTCTTCGATTACTGTGAGTAAATCTTTTGTTTTTGTTGTGCCTAATGCACAAGCAATTACGGTAACTATTTTTGACAGTCTTAAATAATGGAAACATATTGATGTTAAGTAAGTAAAACTATCATAATTTTCATTTATTTTTGAGAGAGCAATGTTAGAAGTAATATTAAATCAATATTCTTGAAAAATTTATATATGTTTTAGAAATATACAACAGATTGGCTGTATACAACAGAGAAAGCAACTATGCGGCTAATATAAGATTCTTCAATATAATTTATGTTGAAGGTTTATACATTTAGATCAATAAGGAATCAAAAACAATTGTATCGAAGAATTTTATAACAGTTGCAAAGCTGCTTTCTCTGCTGAATGCAGTCATTGTGTTTTTTTTTAAGCTTATAGCTTATGCTTGCAAGCATCATAAGAATATACAAAGTATTTTCAAAAAATGTATGTTCCAGAAACATTCCAATATGCATCTGTCTTTTATGCTTTTCTTGGTATTATTTAAGAATTATAATTGGAAAACTGTGCCTTTAAAATATTGTTTATATTAAATTATTTTGAATTTATTTATACAATAATTTTTTTCTGAAAGCACAAATTTTACGTATTAGTAATTAAAATAAAAGAGTAAATAAAAAAATGCAAAATATTACATGTGTACAGATATAGTATTAAGGTATATCAATAATAAAATATTAGTTGATAACTTAAAAATATAGTTGTAATATTTGTCGTGCTATGGTGAAATTTTCCAAGATTTGTCAATTTTGATTCTGAAATATATAAAAGTATCTTTTGCATTTGTCTGATAATAAAACTATGATAATTTCAATATAATATAGATTATTATAAACTTGTAGTATTAAAAATTGCCATTATATTATTTTAAATTCGTGAATTATATATTATAATTTTTTCTTACGTTATTGTTAAGCTTATTAAAGAAAAACTTCTATGTAACTAAAATCTAATATTAAAATATAATATATTAAATACAATAAAGTGTAAAATATATTATGTATAATTTGTTTATGTTTTTAGATGTCAACTGGACCTACACATAAACATCGTTACAAAAATGTAGGATTAGATTCACAAGAACTGCGAAGACGCAGAGAAGAAGAGGGAGTCCAATTAAGAAAACAGAAACGTGAGCAGCAATTATCAAAACGTCGCAATGTCCCAAACATTGTTGCAGATGATGATAATGTTACGTCTACAGACGAATATTCACTTTCTATCGGTACAGCAGAATCGGTAATATAATTATTATATTTTTTACTATTTTTATATATAATTTGTTTTAGAATAATTTTTTTTTTTACATGACAAAATTGATATTTTAACAGTCTCCTGGTATTATAACATCTGAAATGGTAGATGCATTATATAGTCCTAACATACAAGATCAATTGGCAGCTACGCAGAAATTTAGAAAATTATTATCGAGAGAGCCAAATCCTCCTATAGATGAGGTGATACAGACAGGAATTGTACCACAATTTGTTGAATTCCTTAAAAATAATACAAATTGCACTCTGCAGGTTGGTATATGAAAATACGACAGTATAAGTAAACGTTATCTTTTGTTGTGTGTATCAGACATATATAAATAATAATATTAATTGTTAGTTTGAAGCAGCATGGGCTCTAACAAATATAGCAAGCGGTACATCTCAACAAACACGTATTGTGATAGATGCAGGAGCTGTTCCTACTTTCATATCCTTACTTGGCTCTGAATATGAAGATGTGCAGGAACAAGCTGTATGGGCATTGGGCAATATTGCAGGCGATAGTCCCGAATGTAGAGATCATGTCTTAGCCAATGGTATCCTCACACCACTTCTGCAGTATGTTTCTTTACATTTACAGTTTTTATGTGAATTATTATAGTTCATCGTTATTAAAGAAAATTAAAGATTCTTATATAAGTATGTCACACAATAATAAAAACATATAATATAATTTTTAAATAACAAAAACTCCTGTATAAATCAAATATAAACTTGGGAAGAGAAAAGGGCACTAGGAGTTAAGCGCAGATAACTTTACACACAAATGCTGATATACAATCAAACAAAACTTTTTTATTATAATAATTATGCTTACATGTTTCGGCTCATTTTTGAGCCTTCTTTGAGAGACAATGAAATAACATAAATAAAAATAAAAAAAGGATCAAGAGATGTTTAATCATAGTAAGCTCCCCCACAACCAAGAAATAAAATCTTATGTTAATTCCATCTAACAGAACAATATCACATAATAATATTGTTAAAACTAGTATTGCACTATTCTTACAGACTATTATCAAAGACAACACGACTTTCTATGACTCGCAATGCGGTATGGGCATTATCAAATCTCTGTCGAGGAAAAAATCCAGCACCAGCTTTTGCAAAGGTTGTACCATGTTTACCGGTGTTGGCACATCTTCTCAATCATACTGACTATGATGTACTCGCTGATGCTTGTTGGGCTCTTTCTTACTTGAGCGATGGCCCAAATGATAAAATACAAGCTGTTATTGATGCTGGCGTTTGTAGACGTCTCGTAGAACTTCTCATGTATGTTGAAATTTATATTAAATTTATTATGCGTAATATTAACTTTATGTAATCTATTAGATTATATAACAATTAATGAAAATTTTTCAGGCATGAACAAGATAATGTAATAAGTGCGGCTCTTCGTGCTGTAGGAAATATAGTTACTGGAGATGATGCGCAAACGCAAGTTGTATTAAATTGCTCGGCATTACCTTGTCTATTACATCTTTTAAGTTCGCCACGGGAAAGTGTTCGTAAAGAGGCTTGTTGGACAGTCTCTAATATTACTGCCGGTAATCCCCTACAAATACAAGTACGTTTCGATATAATTTTTAAACATGAGATATAATTTTATATATCTCGTATATTAATAATTAATATATAATATTGATTTATATTTTTCAGGCGGTGATTGATGCTAATATCTTTCCGGTTTTAATCGAAATTTTAAGTAAAGCTGAATTTAAGACACGTAAAGAAGCTGCATGGGCAATTACAAATGCTACTAGTGGTGGAACAGCTGATCAAATTCGATATCTAGCAGTGCAAGGATGTATTCCGCCGCTCTGCGACTTGCTTACTGTTATGGATATCAAGATTGTTCAAGTCGCTTTGAATGGTATAGAAAATATTTTACGCCTGGGAGAACAAGATGCATCTATGCATAATGGTCTCAATCCTTATGCAGTTCTTATCGAAGAATGTTATGGTAAAATATCAATTTAGATACAAATCTTTTTTAATGAAAGACGTCAATTAATAAATATTAATCTGGTAAATCAATTTTTTTTGTTTCAGGCCTAGATAAGATAGAATTCTTGCAATCGCACCAAAATATGGATATTTATCAAAAGGCCTTTGATATTATCGAACGATACTTTGGGTCTGAGGAAGAAGATACCCGACTTGTACCTTCAATCGATTCACAAGGCCAAGAATACCAGTTCACCGCACCAGATTCTTCCCAATTACCAGTGCAAGGCTATGAATTCTAATCATCTGTTTTTAAATTTCTCAATACAACTCTGTTTCATTAAACGTTAACATTATTCTTTCTACAAGGATTTATAATATTCTAAAAATTTTAGTAGGGGAGATCGCGCATGGGGCTATCAGTCTACGGGAGCTAGGTATCCACAGTATTGCTATCTCAGATGTTAGAGATAGATATCTCTACTATTTTAAAAAGTAGCTGAAAAAGCTTTAAGTAGCAGGAAAACAAAAGTTTTTTTTCAAAAATTGTCTACTTTTAAAATTTTTTCAATTGTTCGTTATGCTCGTTAGGATGGTAGAGATATCTCTCTACGTCTGAGATAACAATACTATGGACACATGGTCTCCCCTACATCAATAGGAAATATGATCTTACATATTTATTCACTGAGTCTGAATTTATTTGTGTCAAACGTACAAAATAATTGAAACTGATCTATTCTTCTTTATTCGAATTAAAAGCAGTAAAAAAATCTTCATGCACTTTTAATTGATTTTTTCTTTTTTTTTTCTCATTTTTAGAATACGAACCATAACTTACTCTGTTACGATCTGAAATTATTTTCGAATCTATATCAAATTACGACAATGTCTGTGTTTAGAGTCTTGAAACAATTTGTGTAGGAATACTTACAGACTCATACCTGCATGTATTTAGTATGAGACGTTTAGTTTTTAAAACATAAACGTCTTAGTGCTTAAGTAGAAGTGGAGACAGTGATCAGAACAATTTGTCGAGGCAAACTCACACCTCGTTCGACATGTGACTGACGCAGAATTACGAAAAAATAACTTGCATCACCCTGCAAGACACTAACTGAATGACTGAAGTACGCGACTACGTAGCCAACACGGACAACATTACGCAACGCGATACTCACCTCCTTACTATACTAGATAGAAACATGACCAATTAAACTTTTTTACTGTAAATACGTATGTCGTAATTTTAAGGCTATTCTATACAGAGTGCCCTTAAGAAGCAAAGTAATAGTTTTATTTGGCCGTCAACACAACAGTTTGCGAGAATTGAAGTATTTGCTTGTAATTTGTGATAGAGTTATGATTTGTGTATGAGATTCGTGCAAAATATGCTCTGGTTTTTTTTTTTTGTTAGATTGTGCGGAATGCTAACTTCAATATTATATACTTATATTTTTGTTAATCTAGTGTATATAATACAATCAATTACTAGTTCTTAATTAAAAATATTTGCGATTGTATTAAATAAATATTTTTTATCTTGTGTTTTTTTCTTATAATTTTTAAATTATCGCAGAATCAATATTTTTCAACCCTTTATTTGCCTGTAATGAAAACGAATAGTATTGAGATTGTACAGCACATAATCAGATTTTGGACATTCTGTATGAAAAGTCTATGACTGTATATATGAAATGTATTTATTATTTAGGTTTGACGATACCACACTATATTACACAAACCGTATATATACTATCTACTTTTAGTTACCGATTTGTGAATTATTACGACGGAGAACGACTGTACTACAGCTCATTAGTTTAAATTTTGCTAAGTGTTACTTTAGCAAAGTATGCAGCTATGAGTGCTTGTTGCCAATTTATAATATACTTATCGAATAATATTACATGAATATAGAAAGCAGGATTTGTTAAGTTAATTATGCTGATAAAACCATATATGACAACTATCAGTCCTAAAAATTGATGAATTAGTCTAAATCAGTGTTTTTCAATCGGTATAATCAATATTTTTTAACGCAAAATTTTCATCAAAAAATGAAGTTTTCTATAATTCAGGGTTGGTAAAAAATCTGTTTTAAACAGTTTCAAACATGCTTTTTCAATGTTTTTAATATGATTTTTTTAAATAGTATCATTTAAAGTATATTTAATTTAAAACATTAATAACATATTTAAAAAAAAATGTTTAATTCTTAAAAAAAAAAAAAAAAACATTAGTCTTTATCAACTTTGTTATAATTATAATCATTTTAAATAAAATAAATTTTAATTCTATATATCTTTATATTTTTATTTAATCAGTGTTAATGAAACAATACTATTGCATTTATTTCATACGTAAATAGATTGGCATAACCATATATTTATCAATTTATTACAAATTTTTTCTGCTTAACAAAGTATTCATTATTAAAAAATTGAAAAACACTTATCTAAATAACCGCGAATATATTTTTCCCAACGATATGTAATAAAATGTTAGAAAATTTATTAAAATGGAAATAAAGCTGTATAAATAAATATTAGTATTAAAGCTTCTCTCTCTCAGTTATCTTAAGCTTTTCAGCTGCTTTTAAAAAATATTGAAAATAATTATAATTCCGTATTCTTAAAACGATATATTCTAAAAAGCTTTGAATGCATGTTAAAATTAACTTTTTATTTCAATCACAAAAAGTTAATAAAAACCATATAAAATGTGAAATAATATTTATATTTTACATGTATATTCGGTATATATGTATATATTTTAATATTCAATTTGAATAAGCTAATGGAAGTTAATAAGTGAATATATGATTTCTTTGTATGAATCGTTTATTATATGTAATTCATACAAAATATTACAAAAATTGTCATTTTCGTATATTTGTAAATGTAACTTGTCAATAATATTTTGTTATTTTATTATATATAAATACCTTGTATTATTATCTTGTATGATTAAAACTATAGTGTAACAGGTCTTGTAAATTGGCAATGAGTAGAATACGATACTCGACATTATTTCAATTATTTCATTGTTGTATGGACTGCCGACTGACACATTAATACAAAATCGAATATTACACATACACAAAAAATAATCCTAATTACTGTATTTTATTTTGAAGCTAAATGAATGTCACTCGGAAATATATGCGCGAAATCGCTACATACAGTGTCGTTATATTTTTCGAAAATAGAAATATGAAATTGTGATTAGAAAAACTTGCTAAAAATGAAATTTATTTCGTGTAACATTGGCATAACAAAATAAAGTTAAATTAAAAGATCTATAGATCTTATATTCCTTAGTTTGTAACCAAAGACGAATAACTTTATCATAACTGTCATAACTGTTAATTGTACGTTTTCATTATATATATATACACATATATATATATATATACATATATTCATTATACATATAATGCAAAAAATCATAGAAAATATTCGTATTAGAATCTTTTTATTTTTCAGTTCTGACAGTTTTGGTTCAATATAACTACAGCAATAGCTTATTACAAATCTAAAAAATATTAGGGTATGTATATAGAGCGAAGTTATTTCCGTTATTTTCAATCTTAAAGTAATATAAAATTTATATTACAATACTAATATCTTTTTACAGTAACGTATTTATAACTATCTTATACAATCATGATTGCTTCTTGAGAGCACAAGTATCTAAATGTTCAGTATACTGTTCAGAAACATGACTAGTATCCTGAGAAATGGACGAAATAGCCCCGCTCTACCCTAATACATACATATAACATGTTTAGCATTACATTCATCATGTATATATTTTAATTTATATTTTATATTATGTTACTAAAACTAGCACCAAACTATATGCAATTCGTAATAAATTTACAAAAATTTATCAGTTTGGATTCTCCATAATGTTCGCGATTTGTGATTTATTGTCTAGTTTATCATATAATAGATATTCAACGACCTTATTCAGCGAGATGAGAAGATATAAATTTCTTGCGATCACAAAATCATTTCAAAACTGTATTTCTAGAAAGAACAAATGCGTTTGTTTTAGAACTCAACATTTACAAAGAGCTCAATCAACTGAGATTAAATAGAATGTTAGCTTTATTCTTTTTACATAATAATAACACTTAAGGCATCCTTAACGTCTCCTGATAATAGTTCTTTTTTATGAATAGAAACAGTTCATACATAAATTGTACTTCAGTAGTATTATACTTATTGAAAGTGTAGCAAAGTTTTACATTCAAGAATTTCCAATCAAAAAACACAAATCAACTTGATTTACTTTAATTTCGTTAAAAAAAAGTTCTGTTAGTAACTCAACATAAATGAATAATAGTTGCAATTTCGACGAATTTGTCTTTTTAATTGAATCTCTTCGAATAACAAACTGCACATAGGGCGCTAGCTTTGAATTATCAATTTTATAAATACACAAAAACATTTAACTTTATTATTTATAAAACTATATCAATCATATGAATAAGATAGGGCGGGGCTATTCCGTCAGTTTCAACTTTAAAATACGAAAGTTTACAATAGCAAACAATATACATATATTTGCAGTGACGTGCTTGTAATTACATTATACGATCATGTGATTGCTCCTTGAAGGCACAAGCACAACTTTTAAATAATCATTATGCTCTGTTCAGAAACATCGCGAAAAATGGACAAAAAAATCCCGCTCTATCCTATACTTATTTTCTTACAATTCAGATTAGCAATATCTTAATTGTGGCTCAGGCTGTACCGATATAATTATCCCATCTGTAACGCGCGTTACGAGTGCCATTAAAATATCCTGATCGATGCTCCGTGATAGTCGGTTATAAATTTGCTCTTCTACAAACTTTAGCTTATTCTGTTGTGATAGAGAACTATTAGTTTGCATAGTAAGAATGTAAATAGCTTCTGCTACTAAGGGATTTATTCTATCGCACAAATTGTGTAATGCCTTTACTGCTTCTGCATTAATATTCAATATGTCGTGAATAATCTGCAACAAATTTACTTGATTATACACAAGTCAGTTTATATAGAGTTTATATTTGGAATATATGTATGTATACTCACTACAACTTTTTTTTTCTCTACAGAAAGTTCTTTTAATATAGTAATGACCTCACCAGCGTCGTTTCCAAAGTCTTTTGGATTAAATTTCAAATAATCATCTGCATTTAAAATGGTACTACTTATATGTGCTAGTTTAGTAGCTAAACAATTCATTGTAGTTGGTTCCTCTGCAAACAGGAGAATTATTGAAGGTATCTTGGGAATTCTTGATATCACCTCGTTTATTGCAGATGAAATATCAATCCAGATATCTGATTCTTGATTATAAAATGTTGCTTTGAGGTCTTTTACTGATTCAGTTAATAAAGCAGGATTATTGAAGATTACAGCCTGCGTTTTTTTATTGTTACTTATAAAGTTTGGAACAACTATTGCTATTATTAATATGATGAATACGCCAGCAAAGATACGCCAAGCACAGCTGCTTATATTCTGTTCATTCTTCTCAATATTCCCTTCAGACTTTCTTTTCTGTGAAGGAATATATCTTATTGGAAAGCAATTTTGAGAATGATGCAGAGATTGTGTTTTTTCGTCTTCCTCACTACAACTTTCTGTCATTTGTTCGCTCTCAAAATATTGATTTGTAAGTAATTCTCCAGTTTCAAATGAATTTGATGTATTTTGCTGTCTAGGTGTTTTGTTTTCCATTTCTAAACTTTGAAAATTATTGTTTAACAAATAACTTTTGTTTATATCTTCTGGTCTTAGAGATCTTCTAGATCTGGGTTCAGATAGTATAAATGCCATTGGTGGACTGTGAATCTGCAAAATTAATAATGCATTATCCATTACACAAGTAAATTAGGAATAGTTGTGCAGTTTTGGTAACACCTTGCAATCGAAACTTTAATTTATCCTTGTAGTATCAATATAAGTCTTAAACAAAATCTATTTACCAAGTTATATTCCGACAACAAACGATGCATGTAGACGTGCGATTTTGGTCAATATATCTTAAATAAGCTAATAAAATAGCAATTCTGCTTGGTCAGTTTTTGCAGTTAACCTATTATTACATCTCGTTCGCAACCCTCGCAGGTTTTACTATATATTTCTACTGGCATTTTACCAACGAAACGTATAAGGCGCATAATTAAAAAAAATCTATTTTCGATAGATTTTGCTACGTAATGTAAAAGAAAAAAAAATCCTTTTTCTTCGAAATGCGTAAGAGTCGAGAAGTCCATTTCAGCAAAGACGAATACGACTTTTCAGGAAAATCAATAAGTAGCAATGAAACCCAAAAACATACCTCGTGCATTTCACAGCCAGTGGACTCATCTTCACTCATCTCTTATTGTGACGAGAGAATATAACCTCATCGAAACGATAACGATCGTAGTAACGGATCGTAATAGCGATTATTACAGACTACACGAATTTTATCTTGAAGCACTAGAAGCGTCGCCTTACTCCCTAGTCCCTAGTATTAAATGATACTAATTTGAGTTAAAACCAGACTACGCGTACTTAATTGATGAAATTGCAATTTGAGTTATTTGGCCGGTTAGGCGTGGTTTGGCGTTAGTTCAAAAAGTAATCATCGGTGATATAACCAGTGATAACTAATAGGATAACCGATAAGAGCGATAGCTCGATCACTTTGATGACGTAATGCACACACTTCTATATAGAAATCTTTGTGTGAACTGTGAATGCCTTTATATATGTTCTGTAGTATATGCGGCCATCGTGATAACAACTGGCAGTTGCTGGCAGTAAGGTGAGACAGACGTTTTGCGAGGATTCGTCTCATTCGGCTGTTGTCGTCGTTACCTGCAATCTTGAGGGCGTCAATGGACGTCCGGATGCGAATTCGAGACTGCTATACGGTGACAACATGTGCGTTGGCCCGTTGAAGAAAATATGTCATTGGGGACCGCTCTCCGCGCTCGGTATGTCACACAAGTATCGGATGGAGAAACGTTTCTCATTGTCAATCGCGACAGTCATCTCGTCAATGAAACCATAATTGATCTCTCGTCAGCTATGTTCAAACATAAAAACCATTATCTTGACTAAATTTCGATTTAATCAAAGATGATGACTTGGCAAATAAAATAAAACTGTTTTGTATGTAGATAGAATTATTAATTTTTTGTCGTTTGATATGTGAAAAGAAATATCAATGAAATTATGTAAGGAAAGTGTAAGAATCTGACGAAAAGTATACAGGAAGTACAGATGAGAATATCTGAATTTGAAAGGCTAGGAAAAATGAAACAGAAAATTTTAACAAAGATTTTCCTCTCTCAACAAGTGAAGAATTAAGAAAATTGAAGAAAACATTGGAGGATTATAAATGAAATAATAAAGAGAGAAAAAGCTGAGCAAATCAAACTAAGAATTTTATTATATTTAAATGCAGTGCATTGAAGCAAGTCCAGTCATTTGCTATTAATTTATCATTGTTTACCAATTTTGAGCTATATAATTTATTGTCTCTGAGCTAATTTCTTTTTCATGTATTGAACGACAGAAGTTATTTATATTAACAAAACATTATTTGATAAATCATTTGAAACTCGATCAAAGTTACCTTAATTAAAGTAGCACATGATAGACATGATTTTTTAAATTTATCAATCAAGTTTTTCAACAAGACATATATAACATGATGGTTATTTTATCTTTGTTTAATATTGATAAACAAGAATATAATGATTTACCATATAACACTGTATTGCAAAGAGTATATATTTTAATGTTCTGTTATATTTATAATTTACATTGTTTTTGTATGAATTTTTGACCATGTATAAAATATTTATGCTCATTTTATTTGGTATTGTAAATATAATATAAATTGTAATTTGGCTTGTGAGATTACCAGCATAATTCTCAATGCCAAGGAAATTAGTAATTGTAGATTACAAATTTTGTTATACTAATTTATGTTACAGCAATGATAAAGATTATCACATTGATGACGATACACTGTAGTAGACAGTGGTGGCCACCGCAAGACAGTGTTCCAGCAGCTGCCAGTTTCTTGCTGTTCTTCATTCTCAGTGGATTGACTTTATTCCATTTTATTAGCGCAATTTTTGAAGGTCCTGGATATCTCACATTAAAATGGATTCCGGTAATATATTACACATTTATTATTAAACCTGTTTGAAGTGAATACCTTTTTTTAACGTATAATAATATTAAATAACAAAAACTCCCTGTATAAATCAAATATAAACTTGGAGAGAAAAGGACACTAGGAGTCAAGCGCAAATAACTTTACGCAAATGCTAATATATAACAAACAAAACTTTTTTATCATAATAATTGTGCTTACATGTTTCAGCTCATTTTTGAGCCTTCTTCAGAGACAATGAAATAACGTAAATAAAAATAAAAATAAAAAAAGATCAAGATATATTTAATCACAGTGAGCTCCCCCACAACCAAGAAATCAAATCTGATATTAATTCCATGTAACAATACATGTCACATAAAGGGAAATGAAAAAATAAAGAAAAAAAGAGAAACGAAATGAATAGTATGCCGAAACTAAGAAAATCTAGGTTAATTTCGAAAATAGATTTTTAAAATTGCAAATGTTTATACCAGGTTTGAGGAGGATCACTGTGTTTTTACTTCTTTGCAAACAATTGAAAACCTATAAACTTAACTTCTCGTTTTCTTTTCTCGTTTGTTTTACATTTATTTGATTACTGATAGGAACAAAAATTAAAACAAATTTATATAGTAATTTCAGATTAGAGGGGTTTGACTTTATCAATTTAATTTGACATTATTTAGATGGTAAAACTGATATTATTATGTTGGACTTTATTATATTTTAATTGTAATACTTAATGATAAATTTATAATACAAAGCATATAGATTTTATCATGTTATTAATTAATATGTATTTGTTTTTAGGAAAAAGCTACAGATATACAATATCTGCAATATTGTATTGTCTGCCAAGGTTACAAGGCACCGAGATCACATCATTGCAGAAAATGTAAGAGATTGAATATAATGTAATAAAAATATAATAAGTAATAATAGATATAGATATTACTTGTAATATGGTTTTTAAAAGTTTATAAGTTTGTTATTATGATGATAATATAATTTTGGTGCGTCTTCTATCTTGCTGCTCTTGCTTGTCAATCTACTTTATCGATAGAAAAATATAAAACGTAGCATATATATATATATATATAAAAGAGTTAAAAAGCTTTGTTTAATTTTCCAATACATTGATCTATTTTAATTATTCTACACTTCTTTTATTTTTAGGTAATCGTTGTGTGATGAAAATGGATCATCACTGTCCATGGATAAATACCTGCGTTGGACATTATAATCATGGGCATTTCACAGCATTTTTGGCAAGCGCGGTCGGCGGTTGTTGCGTCTCTTTCGTCATATTAATTTCCTGGGTAGCAACCGTGTTATCATTGAAGCCTTTGCCATTTCCACCACCAGCGGTCTATACATTAATACTAGTAGTATTTAGTATTGGTTTATCAATTGGCGTTGTACTTGCAGTAGGAATGTTATTATATTTCCAGGTAAATGTTTTTAATACTCTTATATTAATTGATGCATTAATTCTATAATTCTTCAAATTACACAGATATTAGCCATCGTGAGAAATCGAACAGAAATAGAAGATTGGATTCTGGAGAAGTCTCGATATAGAAGAAATGATACAGATGCCAAATATATACATCCATATTCAAAAGGATGGCGTTTCAATGTTAGTCAAGTTTTTACATGGGATTTTACTCCCGTCGGCGATGGCATTACATGGCCAATTATTGATGGCTGCGATCAATATACATTAACGGTAATTTTGTTTAAATAATATGTCACATGATAATTCAATAATAATTATTTATTTAAAAGCATATGTGAACTTTAAGAACTGTGATTATAGTATACTAATTATTATTTTGCAGAGAGAGCAGCTTGCTCAAAAGTTAAATAAACGGAAAAGAGCACGCATATATAGGATTGTAAAAGCTGCATCAGGATCTAAATTTCCAATTGGACATGGTTGCGGCGTATTTTTTCATCCACTTTGTACTGATGAACCTCGCATTAAGTTGGATGTAGATGATATTGTAATTGTAACACGTTGGAAGAAGTATGCATTTTGTATATATTGTCATATTGAAAATTTTTTTGAAAATTAATTTTTTTTTAAATAATTTGCTAATTTATTCAAATTTTTATCTTTTTTTTGCAGATATTGGTTATTTGGACAAAAAGAACAGAAAGAAGGAGAAGATGGGAAATCGAAACGTATAAGGGGATGGTTGCCACGACCCTGTGCGGTGGAAGTAATAGAAAAATCTGTATCGCTTAGATAATTTATTCAAAAATAATTTATTAATTTGTAGAAAATTTATATGACAATATTTGTGAAGATTTAAGAAACCGTCTATCATAATTTTGCATTTTTTAACAGTAAAAGTTGCGAAGAATAAGATAGAAGAACATTACACTCCCCATACCCGTTTGTGTTCAATCAATATATTTTTCTTATATTTATACCTCAAACACCAGTCAAAAGATTAATACATTATCCTACTATTATCTATATATCCTATATTATAACGTTCTTTACATATAAATAAGTAAAAATATTGTATATAAATTTTCACTTGAGATATTTCAATAAGTTCTTAGTGTAACAGTTTTGTTGCAACAACACACACACATGTATATATAATTGTGCGTATTTATACATATGTCATATAATATTTAGTAATTGTACATATATATATATATAATTATTTAAAAATGACATGTAAATATGTTCTATAGCAACAAATTTTACTTTACAAACATAATTTAAATTTACTTTAATTAGAAAAATTTAGGAAATTTTTATATTAACATGTTTTTTATCAACTTTTTATAAGAAAAACATGTATTACAAAAACTTGTACATGCTTTAAGATAAGAGGAAAGATATTTATAAACAAATAAATACAATAAATAAATTTGGTCTTGCTATATGCGATTACGAAGTAATCTGAAAAAAGTATTTCCAGCGCGTACACAATTGAGACGGCCTGAAAAGGCCGTGAAAAATCAATAATACAGTATGAAAAGTCGCATTGACTGAGTGAACTATGTATGTGTCGGAGCATATGTATGTGTAACGCGCGCACGCTTCTGCATTATGCGCGTTCGTTCGAAGGGTTTAACACGCAATACGATTACTTTGCACGACTGCAGAACGTTCTATTCTATTATTATTATTACACTCATCCCGATCGAATGCGTAATGTTACATGTATAATAATCGGTGAACGAGTGTATAGCACACAAAGAAAATTATTGCGTAAGGGTCAATGTTACAATCCTCATGTAATGAGGAAGCCGCGAATTCACGTGCTTATCAGTTTTACGCATAACATATATTCAATAATCGGTAGTGAAAGGCAGAACGTATTAGTAACTCGCGAAATATGTAATCGAATGTGATATGCAACAACTCGATTTATTGCGAATGATTACAGTCTGACAAATGAGTAAAAATTACACAAATACGAGATGTCTTTAAAACTTTTTATTTTGCAACACATAGCTAGCAACTACATACGTTGCTTTGTCGAAATATCCGTCGACGTTCTTGAACTCTTTTTTTATAATTTTACCTGTTTTATTTAATTGGCATGAATATGGATTCCTTTCATCCATTCACTCCAGATCTTAGAATTTAATATTCATATATTCTTTTGCAAAGTTTAAAAATATAAATGAAAGAACAAGATTAATTAAAATATAGAACGAAACAACTTTT